CAGCTGCGGGTGTGCGCCGGGCTCCAGAGCTGTGTGGGTGGTGTGGGGCTGTCTTTTCACCAGAAAAGAGGAGATGTGGGACCGGACAGGCACTGTCAAAGACAGCTTCCTGAGGTCCCCGGCAAGCGTGGGAATTCATGCAACCTAACGTCTAGGTTAACCAGTATCGGCCTTTAGTATCGGGGTATTTTCACAAGTGCTTGTGAAACTGCCCTGTATTTCCCCCCGATACTGATACTTGTATCGGTACATCCCTACCGGAAAGGTTTACTCTGCTAGACTTAGTTAGAGAAGAGTAAACCTCTCCGGGATACAATGTTTCACTTGCGGGTGTCCGGGAGCCGCTATCTAATGGCGGGAGAATCCCGGAACGTCCGGGAGAGTTGAGATGTCTGAGATTTCTGTTGATCGAGTGATTGATACATATGTATGGTCTATGAACCCCATCTATCTTTATTTATATTATCATCGTCATCATCATCTATAAATTGACAATAGAAGCGATTGAGTTTGTTGGACATTTGACATCATTTTCCGGCCATCGCTCACAGTGAAGAGCAATTGATGAATTATTCTGAAATTACTTTTGGGCTCGGAGTGAGAGCAGATGGATGTCAGCACATGTAGAGTTTGTGTCACATGGAGCGGCGGTCATCATGTTGATGGAAACAATCAGGTGAAATGGTTACTGATAGGAGAAATCAATGTCTGGCCAGCATACACCACACAGCTGAGTCACCTCCGTAGATATCAGTGCTCCTTATCAGGTTGGAGCCATTGAAATTTCATCACTTGCACTCACGCAAACCCGGCTGCAGGGAACCTTGCACAGTCTTCTCTTCTTATGCCATTGTACAGCCTGCTTCTGCTCAAAAAGCAGACTTGGTATCTTTCTCAATAGGCCAGCTGGATCACATGACCTCTGCCTTTTCACTTACCACCCCCAAGTGTGTTGCTGGTTACCTAGCTGGCTCTCCTCAATCTCTGGGGTGGAGGTTGTATACAATATCTGATCCATGGGACAGGGATAAGGTTTAGGTCTGATTGCCCAACCAATGCATTCTCAGCCAGACTACTTGGTTCACATTAAGGCCTTGTTCACACCGAAAGCATGCCCTATTTTTTTGCGTTTGCAGTGGAACGGAACGCTGGCAAAGTTTTGACACACGCTCGATCGCACTACGGGCAGGGGGGGGGGTTCCTGGAAGAGGTGCCATTGAATTCAATGCCCCTCCCGCCCCAAAACACAAGGGGAAGTTTCTCAGCGATCGCACTGCATTCCAGCAGCTACCGCTCTGGAACGCACACGCTTTCGGTGTGAACAAGCTGGCCAAAATTTTGTATATGGATTATCCGGGGTTATTTGAAAAAAAATTATAATGTCTAGTCTGGAGAACCCCCACTCTTCCCTCTCTGCTTCTGTTACAGCAATAAGCATAACATTTTAGATTTTTGTTGCCTTTCTGTCCCAGGGACAATTTCACCATGACAGATAGTAAATAAAAAAGCCAATCTGTCCAACACCGGCGTTCTAATCCCCCCCTAACCAAAACGAGAAGCACGTTTAGGCTGAAGTTGTAACTTAAGCGAGAACTATGAGGACGAGGGAAAATCACTCATCCTCATAGTTCGAGCCGACGTGTGACAATGAATCTGTCACACGTCGGCTCAATAGATCGGGAAGTGAACGAACACATATCGTCGCTCGCTCACTTCTCAATCATCTCCCTGCAGAGAGCCGTGACTGTCAGACATGGCTCCCCGCAGGGATTCCCCCACTCCCGCTCCTATCCTCCAGCGGTGACTGGAGGAACGGATGGGGGAGGGGGTGGGTACAGTTGGCACAGCTGGGTGGGTCTCGACAGCATCGTCGGGATCCGTCCCTGCTGCGGTGGTCTCAGTATACTGTGAGCTGTAGCTCGCGATATACTGAGCTTTGGGTCACGGCAGTGGCGGAGCTAAGGAACAAAGGGCCCCCCCCAAAATAAAAAAAAACACCAGGGACCCCGCAGAGCCAAGCAGAGACCCTGCTGAGCCTAACAGAGATCCCACAGAGCCCATCTGAGAGTGACCCTGCATAGACTCTCTATGGTGGGCTTTGCAAGGTCTCAGGTGGGCTGGTCAGGCTCCCTTTACCTGCTCCTCTTACCTGTCAGCCCCAAGCCGCCCGCTGCTGGGCCCCGGCCTCCTCCACCTCCAGGCATCAGCCTCCTTCTTCTTCACTGCCGGGCCCCTGACTCCTCGGCCGCCACCGGCAGGCTGGCCTCCGCCTTCAGCAGTGCCTCCACCGCAGGTCCCCGACTACCACCACTGCCAGGCCGCGACTACCACCACCGCAGCTGCGGGTCCCAACTACCGCTGCTGCCTCCTCCTCTCCCGCAGGGCCTCTGGCCCCGGTTGAGATGGGGGGCCCGCTGGCCGCTGGGTACCGATCCGGCGCTGGGACTGTGCTGGGCCCCCTAGAGGC